TTCCAATACATATGTTGTTGTTGTTAAGTGCTATTGAGTCAGTTCTGACTCCTAGCCACCATATATAGGGTTACCAAGGAACAGCTGGTGGGTTTGAACCAGTGACTTTGTTGTTCACAGTCCAATCCTGATCTTACAGGATAGCACCACACCAGGATAGGCACAAATACATCCTGAGGCACACCAATAGACATAAACACACGTTTTTTGTGTGTTTTTTCTGAATTGGTAATTATAGAACACAAATGGAATTTAAAAGTGATAAATCACCAAGACTTTCACCAAAAGAAAAAATTAACTATTTTAAATTCAATTATTGAATCCATTAATCCATTTTAATTCTTATATTTCTATATATCATTTTTTATATTGATACAAATTTAAATAACATTACTATGTACAATTATGTAGTTTTTCATTTCAAATGTGCATGGCATTCAATGGAATTCATGTCATAATGCAGTTAACCATTTATCTAATTTGCAAATATAAGTTATTTCCAATATTTCTGCTATATAAATAATGTTAACAATTAAAGTTCTGTTCTTCATCATTCCAAGCAATGGAGTTGCAGAATTCAGGTGTATAAAAAGTTCATGTTTCTTGTACATATATGGCCATAAGACTTTGCAAAAATACTAAACCATTTTATGAGGCCATTAGCAATGCATGGCCATGTCATTATTCTCATGTTTTATATGATTCTACTAGTTCATGCAAGATATAAATACACAGAGAAGCTACTAAGGGACTGAAACACAAAAGTATATGAGACATTGTGGGAGTTTAAGATTTTTTCGGCAGCAAAAATTTATCTCATGATTTTTAATAAATTTGTCACAAATGAGATTCAAAATATTTATTTCTCTTTTGTGTAATTTAATTCAATTTCACACATTTTTATGTTCTATCAATTTAATTAGTATTTTTATAAATATCGTAACTGTGGATAGGGACAAAAACTGAACACTCTAAAATGATCACACTAACGTCAACCCAGGAGAAGTGCTTTGTTCCTCAGCTGCCTATTATTCCTTTGTAGATAAATGGTTCCCTCTCTGAATTACTATTGGAGATAGATAATACATTCTGCAGTTTCCTTGGAATGTGGGTCTTTTTTTCACCACTAGTATAAGGAGCTCTGGTTACAAATCAGGCTGCTAACCTGTAGGCCAGCAGTTCAAAACTACCAGCTGTTCTGTGAAAGAAAGTTGAGGCTTTCTGCTCCCGTAAAGATTTACAACCTCAGAAACCCTATAGAGGGTCATTATGAGTCAGAACTCACTCCACTACACACCACCACCAGTAAAAGAGAGACTCTAAAGCCTCCTACAGTATAGAAATTTTTGACGGTCTAGCCAGTCTCCACTATAGAAAGCTGTCTTCTTCCTGATTAGTAAGTTTCTATGTTAGCACACTATCTCTTTTATTATCTTTTCTGTAATAAACTAATGTCTCTTGGATTGATTCCTGGTTGTTTTATTGGTCACTCGACAACTATGTATGCAGAAGGTTTTCCATTCTGGGCCTAAACCCCAACACTGTATTTTATGACAAAAATTTCTCCTCTTTTTTACTTGGATTTCTAACTGGCTGCAGACAAGTTCTCTTGGTATTATACTTCTTCTAGTCTCGATGTTGTTGTTGTTCTTAAATGCTGTCGAATCAGTTCTGACTTGTAGCGACCCTGTATAGCGTTTGCAAGGAATGGCTGGCGAGTTTGAACAACTGACCTTGTAGTTCACACTGACCTTGCAGTCCAGTGCTTATCCTACAGAACCTTGGTTTCCTAGGGGATCTGCAGGGCCCATTAATTTCAAGGCAGAGAGGTCAGCTCACAAGATTATAGAAACCATTATTTGCAGTTTCTAAGGAGTGATCTTGATAGATTTTCTTGAAGGACACAGGGCAATCAAGAGGGCTTATTAGGAAAAAGTTTTAAGAAAATAGAAAAGTGTATTGGGGAGAAAAAGATCTGGAAACTTGCAAAGCGGAAAATTTCCCCATCACCAGAGTACGCCTGCTCATTTTTCAAGGGCAGTAAGGGCTGCCTTATTTCGTTGAATTTCATTGGGAAACCTTACCTCACCCACCTTATAGCCATGCTATAAGCCCCTTCAACTTCTTTTCGTTTCCAAAATTCAAAGAACATTCCAAAGGATTACAATTTGAATCTTTTGAGGATGTCAAAACTGTCTTTTAGACATGTTTTACATGGAATAGTGCATAATACTTTCAGAAATATATAAACCTAGATTGAAGATGTATTCAGAAACAATAGCTTCACATTTTGATTTCTTTGTTTAATAAAAGGTTCTATGGTAGTATAAGAGATTATGAGCTGGGCTGCTAACCAAAGGTCAGCAGTTTGAATCTGCCAGTTGTTGCATAGGTGAAATATGAGGCTTTCTGCTCCCATAAAGATTTACAGCCTCAGAAACCCTATACAGGGTCGCTATAAGTCAGCATAGACTCCACCACAGCACACAAGCACCACCACCACCACATGATTTTGTAGCAAGACTGTCTTACTTACCCCCATATTTTTAAAGATTGTGGCAATAAAGTTTAACCAGTTCAGGCTAATAAGAACATTGTCTTCAGTGTTTAATACTCAGAAAAATTTCTTCCTCAATTGTTCCACTATTCAATCGGTCTGCAATATCATATGTTTTTAAAGTTGTACATTTAAATATTTTAGCAAAATTTATGAAATAATTATTTCCTTTAACTATTATTTAAATGGACTCCTGCTATGGCACTGTAAGATCAGCATTGCACTGTGAACCACAAAGTTGGTGGTTCAAACCCACCATCTGCTCCTTGGAAACCCTATACAGGATCACTGAGTTGGAACCAACTTGATGGCATTCAGCAACAGCAAGAGAAACATTATCTTAAAATAGGTCTATTGAATCACCAAATCAACATTACCATTTTTATTTCTAGTCCAACATTCTCAATTCTTATTAATAATTTTCATTTATTTATTTATGCTAGGCAAATGATATAATCATTGCTTGTTGCAATATTTTGGGTAGTAGATCTATTCTTTGGTATATAAAGTATTTTATTACCTTCTAGTCTTATTCTCACATATGGATTTTTTAAATGTCTTCATCCATTCCAATAAGTATTATGTTAGTTCTTGAGATTATTCATTCAGTATTTTTAAATTAATTTGAGGCATGTTATGCTATTGAATACTGCAAAATTTGTTTTTAGCAATAAATACTAAAATTGTGTTGTTTGTAAAAAGTAAACTGTTGTTAATTATCTTTCTTAAAATAATTCACATTCTCAATAGACTTGCTCTTTAATTCTAAATTTGTATTATTAAATAAACAATACTCGTTTTCTATTCATGTTGAACATGCATTGCATTACCTAGCATCTTGGAACAGTAGCTTAACTTATGGGAATCCCCATATTACTATTATTACTACCCAAAGTAGAACTTCTAGTGTGGCACTGTAGGATCAGCACTAGACCGTGAACCACAAGGTCATCAGTTCAGACTCACCAGCTGCTCCTCAGAAACTCTGTACAGGGTCACTATGAGTCATAATTAACTTGACGACACTTTACAACAACAGAACAGAATACCAAAACTTAATTTCTGGATCTGTCTTACAGCTAGAATGTTGGGATAGGATTTGGGTTCTAAGATAGATGTTGCAGCCTGAAACTTCAACTTAAGAAGAGAATTTCAAGGAAGCAGACACTATGTGGAATGTATTTACTTTGAGGTTGTTGGTTGAGGTCTTATGATTCGAGGAACTTACATATGTACTCTACTGGTTTAAATGGACAGGAATATATTAGTAAGTGCATTCATTTTTCTCCTTCTTGGCCTTCAGTGAAGGCATTTTGTAATTGACTGCAGTGTGCAGTTTATAGCAAAAGCTACAGGAAAAAAAAATTAATGAAATAAAATTGAAATAAAAGAGGAAACATAAATCAATTATGATTAATAGTCTACAATACTGAATTCCAATATTTGTAATGATATAAACCATTATGAGTAGAGTTCATTGTTCTTTATACAACACATTAGGCTCTTTTTCCTCCTGTCCTTAAAAGTTTTCATGGTTACCAGGTATGAGAGGGAGAGGAGAGTAATTTACTGGCTAGAGGATAGACACATGTTAACTCGGGTGATAGAGAAGGCAATGCACAAGGAAGGGAAGGCAATGCACAAGAGGCAGGGCAGCAGATGAACAATGAAGATAAGGGAAGACTCAGGGCGGTATACATGGGCTAAATGGGGTAGAGCCAAAGAGTTATTTATACACAACCTTGAAATAACACTATTCTGTGATAAAGGAATCAAGACATAGTCTGAAGGGGTAAAGAAGGGGGGAAATATTTAGGTGTTTGACTGCCCTGTGAATATTGGTTTTCCCTACAAATGATTGTAAAATAGACACTTATGTATAATAGAAATGAATATTGGGAATTATGACAGAAAGTTTTTAAGTCCGCTTTCAGCCTATAACTGATTAGATTAACTAAAAAGGGAATTAGAATTTTCTCAGGGACATAGACTTTTTGTTAAGTATCTGTTGAGTATGGGGTCTTAGGTGGAATCCTGAGCTTACTGGTGACCACCATTGTCTAGTTGTGAGTGGCAGTGGGGGAAATGCAGCAATGAAGACATGGGTTGAGCTTGGTCATGTTCCATTGACACTGTTGACCTTTAGATGAGAGAGAGAAGAGGAAGGGCTGCCTGGCCTGAAGTTTAGGGAGATGTTGTGAACTCCTGCACTGACTTGGCCACTGGGGGCTACAGCTGAAAGTGAAGTGGCCAGCTGGAGTGAAGTGTAGAGCGGCACTATGAACTCCCAAATTTGCAGCTATTACCCATTTGACCTTTCTTGGATGGCTAGCTGATCAACTTGACCAGATGAAGATAAAGATGCTTGATGCAGTGAGCAAGTGTAAATTGCTAGAGTTTGATGAACTGCTTACAGATGCAGTTGCTCAAAATTCCAACCGAAATGAAAAGATTGTTCTATTAAGGAAAAAAAGCTTGTTTTCTCAGTGTACTGGGTTGATAGGGATGGGTAATTTAGACATTGACTATCAATAGTGGGAGGGAGGTAGGCTATAAAGGCATGAAGTGGCTGACTTACAAGCTTTCATGAGTGTGCTTATTTTAAGAACCTGGGGAGGTATGGTAAAATCCCACTGGGTAGTTTTCCTCTCTCCCACATGGATCTAGTGAAAAAGGATGGGGGATGATGATAATAGTATTTTATGATTCATTGTAAGTAATTGTTAACAGGATTAATTGTGATTCTCACAATTGCAATTGTAGAAGATGTGGAACTAAAAGGGAGGGAGTAGTTAATCTTTCATTTCAGGAACAGAGGATCCCAGAACCATCAAGAAGGAAGAGCATAGTTGGAGTGTGAGATCCTATCTAGAAAAGTGGTGACAGCAGTGACATTGGCAGAGGCAATGGCATGGAGAAATAGAGCAGCTGTGGACTCTAGGCCCATGGACTGAAAAAGGCTGTGTGCCTGCAGATAGGAGGCTGGTTTGAAGCATGTCCCCTTTTGACATCTAAGTGGATATATACTTTTTGTTTTGTATGTGATCATCAAATATTTTTGCTTTGTTCATTTGTGAAATGTAGTATGTAAAAGTGAAGCCACAGGGAGGAAGTAGGATAACTGTTGTTGCAGGGAGGCGATTATAGTCATTTAAATGAAACAAAATGTGTGACTTATTGAAAGTAAAACTGATGATCTTGTCTGTTAACCTTCACTCAATTCACAATAAGAAGTTAAAATGAAAATCAAAGGAGCAACATGTACCTATGGACAAAGTTGAGAAGGGATGGGAAGGTAGGTGAAATGGAAATAGGAGCTACAGGGTGGAAATGGAATAAATAACCTGTTCCACGGACAGAACTGCAATCATAGAGATGAAACAAAGTGTATAAGTTGTTGAATGTAAAA